TTGAGAAATGCAGCCTACATAATGAATGAAAGCATTGTGCCAATGACAATGAAATGATAAGGACAATTATTAGCCCCTAAAATTAAAACCAAAACAAAAGTGAAATGAAGAACATATTACCTCAGTAGAAGGAAAAACAGTCAATAACTTTTCATAGTTTTCAACTGTTAATGATTTCAGTTTGGAAAAGGAATCTACATGTACTTTGCTCTACCATATCATCTCCAAGTTATTCAAGTGCGTGATAGTCAACCGTTCCAAGTTGAGAAATGCAGCCTACATAATGAATGAAAGCATCATGCCAATGACAATGAAAGTATAAGGCAATTATTAGCCTCTAAAATTAAAACCAAAACGACAGTGAAATGAGGAACACATTACCTTAGTATAAGGAAAAACAGTCAATAACTTTTCACAGTTTTCAACTATTAATGATTCCAGTTTGGAAAAGGAATCTGCATGTACTTTGCTCTACCATATCATCTCCAAGTTTTTCAAGTGGGTGATAGTCAACTCTTCCAAGTTGAGAAATGCAGCCTACATAATGAATGAAAGCATCGTACCAATGACAATGAAAGGATAAGGACAAGGACAATTATTAGCCCTTAAAATTAAAACCAAAATGAAAGTGAAATGAGGAACACATTACCTCAGTAGAAGGAAAAACAGTCAACAACTTTTCATAGTTTTCAACTGTTAATGACTTCAGTTTGGAAAAGGAATCTGCATGTACTTTGCTCTGCCATATCATCTTCAAGTTTTTCAAGTGGGTGATACTTAACTCTTCCAAGTTGAAAAATGCAACCTACATAATGAATGAAAGCATGTGCCAATGACAATGAAAGGATAAAGACAATTATTAGCCCTTCAAATTAAAACCAAAACAAAAGTGAAATGAGGAACACATTACCTCAATAGAAGGAAAAACAGTCAATAACTTTTCATAGTTTTCAACTGTTAATCACTTCAGTTTGGAAAAGGAATCTACATGTATTTTGCTCTGCGATATAATCTCCAAGTTTTTCAAGTGGGTGATAGTCAACTCTTCCAAGTTGAGAAATGCAGCCTACATAACAAATGAAAGTATTG